AATGTACTAGGAAGCTTCCCTCTCCCCCTGGTGTGCTTATATATATCTCGGCCATAGGCCATTATAAACACATTGTATTTTCCATTTTAATCAAAGTGATTCACTTGTGTGTTTCATTCCAAATTCCTAATCCTATATCTTGAGAGCGGTTCTCTTGAGTGTGAGTTTTAGGTTCTAGTTATTTAAATAAGTGTGTGATATCTTATTTGAATGCTAGACTCAACCCCAAGTTAAGATAAGAGTGTGTGATATCTCTTAACACCAACTTGGCTTTTCCCAAAGAAATACTTCTTTTCTTGTCTCGAGCTTTCAAATAATCGATTATCGCTACAAGAAATCGATTATCTATCCCTCGTGAAAACATCTGCAGCCTCCAATAGTCGATTATGACTTTCAGATAATCGATTACCAGCCTTTCCCAGAACTCTGCACTTTTCAATAATCGATTTCCACTGTTCCATCAATCGATTATTATCCTTCTCAGAAAATTCCCAGAAAAACTACCCAGAACCTGCAGCCGTCCATAATCGATTATCCATTTAGGACAATCGATTATCACCACCTCCCTGCAAATAAAGAGGTTGTAACTATAAAACCCTGAGCTTGGGTATAAAAATTTGGTTAATTAATCTCGAAGGATTTATTTAGCTATTTTTTGAGAAAATACTGTATGCCGAAGGCTATGATATTCCAATTGTTAATTTAATTTGATAAAATAGATCTAAATGATGTCCTGATCCTAGGTCCAGATCTACACTTATACTATGTAAATAAATCTATTTTCATTTTTATTTTGCTCTTTTTATAATCATTCTGAGAAGATTTTCATAAATCAATCCTAACCTTCGCCTAATTAGAGTAATTAAGCTAATTTCCTTTGTCCACTCCTCTAGAAACACGATGCTCGGAGAGAAAACTAACCCTTTACTCGGAAGGTTTACTACCCAAAAAACTATGATTGTCAAATGGCGCCATTGCCGGGGAGTGGCACGGCATTAGTTTAACTTCTTCCGATTAGCTTGGGTGTAGATTGGTTAGAATGATCTTCTCACTTCTTTTTCACCAACCACCCGTAATAACTATTATGGATAACTCCAGTGGTTATTACGGTCTGCCCTCTTTCTAACAATCACCTAACCACCCTCTGTTTCAAACCCATCCACCTTATCACACATATTAGGACCCATATGATGATGATGATGACTACCAAGTCAACAATGGGTCTGACTACTATCCCTACCATGAGGAACCACCATATGATACCTTGTCTAGAAACTTTAGATATTCTCCATCCCAAGATTCTGATAGGGATAATTATTATGATCCTCATGGTGACCAAGATGACTATGACCAATCTGGGCCTACGTGCGATGATCAATCAGATCCACTCATTGAAGAAATAATAAGATTAGAAGAGAAAATTTTCTATTTGGATGAAGTCCTATTCGCTGAAGGCTCCTGGTACAAACCACCTTACTGTCGAGACTACACTCTATTTGTTGAAGAACAAATTGAAGCAAACAAGGTAGCAATTCGAGAAAGAGCAAAAATGTTAGGGGTGAAACGGGGGTCTTATCAAGTTGTTATTTTTGGAGATGGAATTGTGGAATAATGAAGGGGAAATGGGCTGGATGAAAATATGGGAATGTGAAGGAGTTCTTTTTGGGTTTTGATATTATGAAGAAGAGTGGAAAATCAGGGATGAAGGATGGGTTTAGAAAGGATGGGATAAATTCCAAATAAGGAATAAGAGATAAACACACTCTTATCTTAATTTGGAACCAAATTAATACTAAAGGATAAGCTCACCTCTAGATTAACTTGGGGTTGAACTCTAGTATTTAATCAAGATATTACACACTCAATCAAATATCTAGAACCTAAAACTCACACTTAAGATAACAACTCTTAAGATATAGAATTAGAAATTTGACTAAAATAGCATCACACTATTTTATGAATACTCAAAGAGTAAAAGGTTTTCAATATTCAAAGATGGGTTACAATG